AAGTGTGAGGAATATTTCAAAATTAATATGCGACAGCTTCAAATAGACACTTTTTATGATATTTTACATATTTTTGAGTAAATTGGACATATAGGAGTGAGAATATTCGTGTATACACGAAAATTGCAAAGTAAATCAACAGATTTTTAGAAAGATAAAATTATCCGAAATCTCGTTTTTAAGAGTTAATAAAGCCAATATTCATACGATATTTAATAAAATTAGATTATTTTAAAGTTCTTTGAGTAGCAACGGAACATATATATCATTCAAAGCTATATCAAATTTAATGTTTGTTTTATGAAACTTAAAATAATAACTTGTCATTAATGAGTAATTGAATTCTAAAAACGATAATCATTTAATTTTTGGTGGATATGACAAACCGCTTTAACTATTTTAATAATACAGGTATTAAAATAAAATTTTCAGTGTTAATTTTTAAAACAATTACTATTGTTTCAACATACATTTTATGAAAATTCAATTATTCATCTAGGTACCTTGGGGTCTTAAAAATAACCATTAAATTTTGGAAAAAAGCCAATTTTAAGATATAGGCATAGTATTGAAATCATTCTAAATTACTTCAAATTGAAACGCTTGTGTTAAGTAACATAAGGTGTTTGGTTTATCATAAACCACTGGATTAGTCGTAAAATAAATTCAATTTGGAAAACAAATTTTCAAAACAAATAAAATTGAAAATTACCTAATTAAAAAATTACTTTTGGACCAGTCTTTTAGATGTTATTCTCGTTTTTTACCTAGTGGGACGAAGATTAAAGCCTAATAATATAAGTAACAGCACCAATTTCTCACCATCAGTCTATACTTTAATATTTTAATAACATCTTAATTACTGATATAGAATTTGCTATCGACCAGTCATTTTTTAAATTAGATTATTACCTATTTTATAAACTAGTTAAATATGTATGTTCCCATTTAAAAAAATTAATTTCAGTTTCCATGGATTAAAAGTAATGATTCTAAAAAGTAATTATTTGCTGATAAATCAAGAATTATATATAACTAAGAGATATCGAAAATTGGTTTTCCCATATTTTAAATATTTCGGTTTTAATTGAGTGGTTTATGATAACCCGATCACTCTGTATATGATTATTAAAAGAAAAACGTTCCTGTATCTTATCTTTAAAATTCTTGACCTTGAATATTTTGTTGTTTTCATAAAATTTAAATATGTCCTAATTACACATCAAGACTTTTAACACAGTAGTATTTATTTCTTTCAGTAATCATGATTACTATAAATAATAACAATGAATGATTTTTTTATTCCATTATGCTGCATCAAGACTGTAATTAACCTGATCAAAAATAATATGTACTGTCTCATAATTTTTTGTGATAACTGTCGTAATTCCGATAACTATTAATAAAAAAATATATTTAGTGAAAATATTAATAATTAATGAGTAGGTACAAAAATAGACAACTATTTTTTTCGTATTTCGTTTTTCGTATCAATAGTATTTCAAAAAAAATGGCTCATCTCACTTTGTTGGATTCATACTGCACTAAATTCGTTTTACTTATACTTGTGATATTTTACAGAATTTTATAGTATATGGAATGGTGTTAATCTCAAAAACTGAAAATTATTTGATGTAGCGAATTATAATTTAAATAAATACTTTTATTTTGTATTGCTAACAATGATTTATATTTTATTATATACTTTTTAATATATTTTCCATTAAAATTTCATTTTTAAATTATACTTTCCTCATATTTTTTATCAGATATGTTTTTGAAAATTAGTTTAGTTCTTGTTAATATCAATATATCAAATACATGTTTCTTTTTATTATGGTTTTTTTTTTCAGTTTAACCAACTGATCATCACCTATTGAAACGATTTTAATCAATAATATGTCAAAAATTCTAGTAGCTATCAGCATAATAATTAAAAAAATTACTTTCAATACCAGTTAAAAATAAATTAATGTGTTCCAAAAATTCAATAGTTAAGTATAATAATACTTAACTACTTAACTACTTAATTAGTATAATAGTATTATAAGTATTTATAATTCAATAGTTTAGTATAATTCACTAAAAATTTAAAAAGCTCTTTTAAATCTAAAATGATGACATTTTTAATAATGCAAATATTTTACTAGCTGATGATATTAAATTAATACTAACACAAAGTACTTAAAGATAATAAAATATTGATACATTATTTATTTTTAGTGTTCTTAATAAATCACACTGTAGAAGACAAGTCTTCGGGTTAATTTTTTTTACTTGTAGTAAAGTATTCTATTTTGCATTAAATATACAGTGAGTCACGATTAATTTTTATGCTGTAAGACTATGCAAATAACATAACAAGCCATATTTTTTTAATTTATTAAAAAAAGGAAAAAAAAATCAAATTTACGAAAAAAATTAAAAAAGTTGTTAAAACATATATAAGTATGTAACTGTTCTAAATTCTAAATTCTTACTTTAAGTTAAAAAAATATAGAAATATTATTTATTTTTAGTGTTTTTAATAAATCACACTATAGAAGACAAGTCTTCGGGTTAATTTTTTTTAATTTGTAGTAAATTATACTATTTTGCGTTAAATATAGAGAGTCACGAATAATTTTTAAACTTTACAACTATGCAAATAATATAACTTGCCATATTTTTTTAATTAATTAAAAAAGGAAAATAAACTATATTAATGAAAATATAAAAAAAGATAGCGATTTTATAGAGTAGATTTTAAAATAATATTACAATATGATTTTAGAAAAGGACAGAAAAAACCAAATAATTTCTTATTAAATATTAGTTATAAATATGTAACTGTTTCCATGATAATTATCTAAGCTGGGTCATTCCATGTGAAACCACCTAATGTTTGTGCTGCTATAGTACAGAAATTTTTGACATTTTTATCATAGGCTTCTTAAATATCATTGACAACAAAAATAGTTTTTGTTTTTACCCGATAGCGCATTTATTATAATTAAAAAACATGAAAAAAGACCTTTTTTACTAGATTTTATAACATCCAAATAAGTTATTACTGTGGAACTAGCACTGTTTTACTTATTATATAATAATACTTCGATTTCATTATTAAGTTTATTAATTTTGATTTTTTTTTAACTTAGAAATTTTGATTTAAATTTTTAAATTTTGCAGTATTTTAAATTTTGATAGCAAAATTTGAACGTCAAAAAAATTTTTTTTTCTTTTTAGAAACTTTTATTAATGCCATTTTAACCTATATCATATTTGAATCGATTTATAATTTTTTTTGTATCGTTTTACGGTCTTGACGCATAAGCCAACTTAATCAACTCTACACAAAAGTGACTGAATATTTTTTAATTAGTACTTACGTTTAGTAAATTAAAATGTCTGGTAAAAATTTTATGATGCAGAAATAATTTTAATGCTACTAGTGGAACAAGATTTACAATTTGCGTATTATGGATATTCCACAAACTACGTAATGTTCAACATTTAATTTTAATTTTTTGCATTTATTCTGCACGAAAATAAAATACTACATACATACCATTGAAAGCAACTATTTTTTAAATTATTGTTTTTGTTTAGTACTAATGAAAGTATATAATTGTCCATAGACAGTTATCTTTATTATACATAGGATTTTCATTTTATCATGTTACTCATAGTGACTTTTGTATCAATTACTTCATGTAATATGACAAGTGTGACATGAAATATGACTGTAATATTTAAACAGCATTTAAACTGGTTATCTATTTTTAAATATATCAGGATTGATCATATAAAATTACAATCGTGAATCACCGAGGTATCAAGTCAACAAAAATATATTAAAAATGTTATTATTAAAATCAGGAAAATTCAAAAAGAGAATATAGTAAAATGTATTTATGAATTTAGCTTCAAGAGAAGAGTCTGATGATAAATCAATAAGGCTTTTTTTTTCGTTCATACTTAAATTGTTATTTTCATTATTTGCTACAGCAAATAGATCAATGAACCATATATTTCTATGTCTAGGATCTTCATTTTTTGCTGTATTTAAATTTTTTTTTTAGCGAAACATATAAGTTTAATATATATATATATATCATTAAATTGAAATTTTTATGAAAATTTAAAAAATCGAATCGTTTAGTTTATTATGTGACCAGGAACATACTATTAATTTACTATTTACAGTAAATTCATGAGAAAAGCTCAACATATCATTAAAAACATTATTATTTTGTATTAATATTTAAATAAATAAGTTCATTAAAAATTATAGTAATCACTTTTATGTAACTAGTGGTTAAATAATTGCTATAATTGAAACATTCAAAAAATTATATTCCTTGTAGTTATATTCTATATTCTGTGATATAGTAATATGTATAAATATATTGAATATTATTTTAGGCTTAGTTTTACACATGATTTCGTTCATAATACTCGTTTTTACTAATTATTAATAACTTCATAAATTAGAGGAGATAGAAAAAATCGAATTTAAGTAATGAAATTTTTTTTTTGAAAGTAAATGTAAACTAGTGTTACTATGTTTAAAATTAAGTAAATCAGCTTTGTTTTGTTAATCATTTAAGAGACAGGTTTACCTTCTTAAACACAAATACATTCTCTAAATTAAAGTTAAGTAAATTATTAACTATATAACTATGAAATTTGTTTAAAATATTCTTTTTTATTTTGAGAATAATCGATAAAAAAAATTAAATGTATAGTTTATTTATTTTATTGATTTATGTTTGTTGATAGACCGAAGTATTTTGTTTAAGAATAATTTATGAACTCACTCTACCAAACACTTTTACATTTCAAGCAATATTTTTGCGAAAAATTGTAACATTTTTTCAAATATTTTCTGTAAATTTATGTCAGTAATTCAAATATGAAGTAAATATAAATTTATAATTAACAAGTTTTAAATTATTTTTAAAATATTAACAAAAAAAATTTTTTTCTATATAATCGATATCATTATAAATAATATTTTATTTACCCACAATATATTTCTACTTTGATAGTTTAATTTAACATTTTAAAACTTTTAAAAATAAAATTTGAAAAATGCGTTATCATAATATACTATTATTAATGTGTATATTTATATGTATTATGTCAGCATTGGCCGGAAAAAAAAAACATGGCAAAGATGTCGCATCTTCATCAAAATCTGCTGAGGTAAAATTATTAATGATACTAATTTTTAATTTGTAAGCTATACCTTAAAATGTAATTCATATTAAATCGCATAAAAGAGATTCACTACTTTTCATAACAATACAAAAATTATTTCCCCGAAATGTATGTAAGTTATTAAGAATTATATTATTCATTCTTAATGAATAATTTCATTGATTATTTATAATCATACATAATAAGCGCTGGTTGCAGTCATAACAAGTAGTTAGATCTACTAGTTACTATCGAACAATTACAAAATATACAATTATAAAACCGTCTTGGGACAATAGAGAGAAGTAAGAACTTCTTTTATAAATATTGATTATTGGTTTAAATTAAACTTAAAAATGGAAGATATTACATATCGGTGTAGGATAAATAAGTATAATATATTTTTTATAGAATCTATATTTTATTCATTTTTACATGTTACACTTCATCACGTTTTTACTTGTATACATATAGAACATATGTATATACTTGATTATAATTGTCAGTGTCACTAAATCGTTTCACCCGTTTACTCCTAAGAAATATCTCTCAAAGAAATTTTCACTTTAAAAATAAGTGGATACTATTTTATCACGTACAAAATCGTACAATAAAAATATATATATACATAACGAAATGCTGATTCAATCAATAGTTAAAGAATGATTAGTTAGATATGTTAATTGCTGTATAAAAACAAGTGTTAGTAAATTATTATTTTTACTGAAATTCAAATCAACAATATTAAAACTTAAATTAATTACTATCAAACCTAATCAGCACAAAAAATGTGTTCAAATGTAATAAAATCCTGTAATGTCTCCCTCCTAAAAATATATCTGGTTTCCCATTAAATTATGATGAAATTAATTATATCGATAACGTCACATTGTCGAGTAATATTTACATTAAATAAAATAGCTTGTTACGTCTTATAATAATAAAAAAAGCACGACAAATAGTCATTGATTAATAACAGTCATGAAATTGCTCAACTGTTAAAATATTTGATTATTATTTCTATTTTTTAGGTTAATTTTAGTAATTATGAAAATTTGATATAATCAAATAATACTTAAATTAGTCTAAACCTATTAAATTTTCAACTTGATTATACTAAGGATATAACTCTCGATTAATTACGTAGGACTGATTAATGATAGTCCTAAAATTAATCAACTTAAGGGATTTTTGATATAATTTTAAGAGTATTATTAAAAATAATTAATGGTTAATATTTTTTGAAGTGACTACTTCTTTGGTTATATGTTTTGCACGGGGAAAAAATTGTCGTTCGCGTAACGGAACGAGTATCTGCTGCGCATGCATATGTTTATTATGAATAGTATTAAACATACACCTATACTGTACAATTTTTTAGCTTCGATGCGAAGCTGAGAAGGTATTGGTTTTAATATGATGTGTTTTTTTTGTCTGTTACCACTTTTTCTCAGCTCTCACCAAACCAATTTCTTTCAACGATACGTTAAAAAATCACAAACTGTATCTATCCGAAAAAATTCACCTCAAAAATTGAAAAAAATTCCCTCGTTCTTCATAAATGGTCGAAATCTCCAAAAAAATTACAAATTCAAAAATCGCTTATTTTGGACATTTTTTCAATTTTTTTTTTCTTAAAACTGACATAACTTTCTTAAAAATAACTAAACAATATAATTTTTTTTTATAGATGCGTGATTTTTTTTATAAATCTAACCCTTTACCTGCCTACAGTGGGGAATTCAAAATGATTACTTTTTCACAGAAAATTGACTTTTTCAACTTAACTTTTGAAGTGTTCCGGAAAGTCTTTTATTTATATATATATATATATATTAAATTAAAGCTAAAATAATGTACTCTATTATGAAAATAAAAAAATTTCGGACTTTGTTTTGTCTTTACGGTAAAAATGGCTACCAAATGCTATTTTTGTGTGAAAATTCTCGATTTTATTTTTTACATTTTTAACTTTATAATGCATAACTTATTGAAAAATGTATGGATCAACACTATTATTTTATGAGAAATAATATTTTTTAATAATCCCTTTTTCATTCAGGATACTAATAAGGAAATAACAGATCACGTAGCTTTTGGATTAATCCATCATTTTTTTTTAATTAAACACTATCTAAAGATTTGCTTCGGAGCAAAAAAAAAAAAAAATTGAAAAAATTTCGAAAATTAGCAATTTTTAAATTTGTAATTTTTTTGGAGGTGCCCCCCATTTACGGGAACGAGGGAATTTTTTTCAATTTTTGAGGGTACTGTTTTTACTAGACACGATTTGTGATCTTATGACGTATTATCTTTTGACAAAAAAAAAACACATCATAGTAAAACCAATACCTTCTCAGCTTCGTATTGAAAAAAAGTGCTTCTGAAGTAATACTTTTTTTGCACAACACATATTTTGTCCAACGCAGTTGGGTACTTTTACCCTAATCAGTAGCTTACTTTTACAGACAATGGTTTATCGCTCTATATGTGCTTGAAGACCACAGGATCTGGGGGGGGATTCACAGCTCATAAAAATTAGTTATGTGGATAATTGATTATTTATATAAATATTTCCAATAAAAAATATCTTCCTAAATGTATCAAATAATAAATAATCAATGATAATCATAAGATTACTCAATTCAAGAAATTTTCGTTATAATTTTCAACAGCATTATATATTAAAACTCAAATGTTTGTTTATTATTTGTATTTCTCTAGGTTAAAATTAGTAACGATGAAACGTTGACAGACTCCATTAATAAGGTGAGATTACTTTAATCATATTAAGTTTTCAACTTGATTATCTTAATAACTTTTTGCAATAAAATAAATATTAAGTAAAATGTAGTTTGGGAAAACGAAGAATTATTTTACCAATTCGAAATATTTTATGTTTAGATCAATTTAAGTGACAAAACCGATGTGATTTCACCTACTACACATGTAATGTATTAAAATTCTAATTTAAAAGACTTTTGACAGTGTTGTAAGTCAATGAAGTGAAATAATAACAGCGGGTTCGTTTATATTATCAGTGATCAGGACAGATATTGAAGTCGTATATTATTTAATGTGATATCAAAAACACATATTTAGCAGAATTATATTAAAAGACATCATTGATTAATTTTACCAAACAACTTGATAATTTTTGACACTCATAAAACATAAATAAAGATTATTTGTTTATTTGTGATATTTTCTTCTCATAAACGGAACACTAATACAATATATTCCATTGAAATAAAATAACGTTAAATAAATCATAACACGGACTGTTAATTAATTAATAAATTCTTATAATGATTGATATATTAGTGAAATGATTAATTATTAAATATAGTAATTGTGAAAAAATGTTACAGGAAGTGAATAATATACCAGAAACACAATCTACACTTATAAAGGTATAGATATACAAAATGATTGATTTATAATTGATAAATTATAATCTGTATTATTTAAAAAATAAAATTTTTATAACTATTAATATATTAATTAAGTGAGTACATATTAAAAATAGTAATTTTGAAAAATTTTACAGGAAGACAATAATACACCAGAAACACAATCTACACTTATAAAGGTATTGATAAGCAAAATGATGTTTTATAATTGATCAATTAATTTCTCCTAACTAAATAGTTTTTAGATCTGTAAATTAATTAACCAATAAATGTCTATAACTACTAATATATTAGCAAAGTGAGTATACATTAAACATAGTAATTTTGAAAAATTTCACAGGAAGAGAATAATATTCCAGAAACACAATCTACACTTATAAAGGTATTAATATAGTGCAGTCTTCAATTTATTATAATTATTTTGAACAACTAAATTCAGTTTTTATTTATTATTATAAGTATATTATACGCAATATATGTTTTTATGTGAAGAACATTGAAAACTTTAAGTTTTCATTACGTCATTTAAATTTATTTTATCTTTATAATTTACTCAACTGCACCTTAAACCATGTGTAATTATTGATAATAATATTATGGAAATGATCATATTATGATCATTTCCTTAGCGATAACTCAATAGTTTAAGTTATTGGTCCTAAATTACAAATCAACTTTCTCGGTTTTCATTGTAAAATAATTGTATAAGTTTCAATTATAAAAATAACTATTAAAAGTATAACAATGTTACTGTACTCTTTTCGTATGAGAGTCAAATACAATCAGTTATTCATTAAACTACTAAATAAATCATTAAAAAACCCAGCATAGGGGGGTCGCGGCACAATGGTGACATGGCATAGTTGGATCAAGTATAATGATATCTGACAGTGATTAAAATCACTATAAAAAAAAAACGCTTCGATGCAAATCTTTAGATAGTGTTTAATTTTAAAAAATTGGTGGATTATTCCAAAAGCTTCATAAACTGCTAGTTCCTTATTAATATCCTAATTAAGATAAAGTATGTCGAATGAAAAAGGGATTATTAAAAAATAGTATTTCCCATAAAAAAATTATATTGATCAATACACTTTTCAATAAGTTATAGCATTATAAAGTTAAAAATGTAAAAAATAAAATTGAGAATTTTCACACAATAATAGCATTTGGTAGCATAAAGTCCGAATTTTTTTTTTTACATAATAAAGTAGTGTTATAATTCAAAAATATAAATAAAATCGGTTGGGTAATTTATACAGTAGAAATCACGCTAGGTTTTTTAAAACATCTTTAAGGCAACGAAACGGCGGAGCCAGTTCACGAATACC